CCGGGCCGGCCCGCGCCGTCCTGTCCTGTCCCCTGTTCTTTGGTGTTGGTGAGTGTCCCCAACCCGGTGACACTGCCATCCTCGCGTGTCCCCAACCCGGTGACACTGCCGCGCTCCCCTGTCCCCTGTTCTCCGTGTTCCGGGCCTGCATGGTACCGGTTCTGCTGCCCTGCACCGGGCCGGCCCGCGCCGTCCTGGCCTGTCCGCTGTTCTTCGGCGTCGGTGAGTGTCCCCAAGGGTGTCCCCAACCTGGTGACAGTGCCCCATGTCCCCAAGCGCAGTGACACTGCTGTACTCGCGTGTCCCGTGTTCTTCGATGTGGGTGAGTGTCCCCAAGGGTGTCCCCATGAGTGTCCCCAACCCTGGTGACACTGCCGTCTTCACGTGTCCCCTCTTCTTCGGTGTCGGTGAGTGTCCCCAACTCCGTGTCCCCAACCCTGGTGACATTGCCGTCTTCGCGTGTCCCTTGTTCTTCGGTGTCGGTGAGTGTCCCCAACCCCGTGTCCCCAACCTGGTGACACTGCCGTCCTCGCCTGTCCCCTCTTCTTTGGCGTCGGTGAATGTCCCCACGGGTGTCCCCAACCTGCTGTCCTCGCCTGTCCCCTCTTCTTTGACGTCGGTGAGTGTCCCCAACCCCATGTCCCCAACAGTGGTGGCAATGCCACCGCGCGCTGTCCTCGCGTGTCCCCTCTTCTTCGGTGTCGGTGACTCCACGCGTGTGGTTGTCCCTAGCCTTGGTGTCCTGCGGGTGTCCCCAACCCCGCGTCCCCCCACGCGCGGGTGTCCCCAACCCAGTGTCCCCAACCCGGTGTCACTGTCCCCGTTGTCCCTTCGCAGCCCATTTCCACCACGTCATCGAGCAGCTCCGATTCCGGCAGGGATCCGTCGGGAGCATCTTCATGGCAGCAGGTGGCACTTGGGGACAGGGAGGGGACAGGGACAAGGACGGGATGGGGACAGGGATGGGGATGAGCAGGGAATGGGGTTGGGACGGGGACAGGGATGGGGACAGGGACAGGATGGGGACAAGGACAGGATGGGGACAGGGATGGGGATGAGCATGGAATGGGGTTGGGATGGGGACAGGGACAAGATGGGGACAAGGAGAGGATGGGATGGGGATAAGCATGGAATGGGGTTGGGATGGGGACAGGGACAGGATGGGGACAAGCGCGGGAAGGGGACAGGGACAGGAGTGGTTGGTGACAACAATGGGACAGTGACAGGATGGGGAAGAGGATGGGGGGGATGATGGTGGCACTGGGACAGTGACGGGGAAGCCGATGGGGACATTGAGACGGTGGCAGCGGGGGGACAATGACGGGATGGTGGCACTGGGACAGTGACAATGATGGGGAAGCCGGTGGCACTGGGATGGTGATGAGGAAGACGACGGGGACATTGAGACGATGGCAGTGGGGGGATGGTGGCACTGGGATGGTGACGACGGGGACACTGAGCCGGCGACGGGGTGGCACCAAAGCCGGTGTTGGGGACAACGTCCCGGTGTCACCTCCGTGTCCCCGCAGCCTTCCAGTTCTCCTACACCGCCCTGTTCGGCGCCTACACGGCCTTCATCTTCCTGCGCACAGGTGAGGCCACCGCGCGATGTCACCGCGCGATGTC